TTTAAAGGTGAGTCATACTGGAACCAACAGGTAATAAAAAGTGCAAAAGGCCTGGCAGCTTCAATCCACACACACAGATTGGAGGCCATCCACATGATTCAAGCATCTAAAGCCAGTTATAGGAGCTGTCTGCCTTAGTCATTGCAGCAAAGGAAGAAAACCCTTTTCGTCCACTTCTCTCTGAGCTTTTTTTCTCATTGTCAAAGACTTGTATCATCATGGCGGAAATCAAACCATTGCTGTCAGTGTGCACTGAGCTCCCCTGTAGATCCTCTGCGCTGCCTGTAGAAAACCAAAGATGTTCAGCAAGGCCGAAACATGACAACAATCATAGGGCTGGCCAGTCGTCGTCTGTGAGACTGGTGGCTGGAATTTAGTTTTACTTTTTCTTATCTGTATGAATGAAATAACAAACATTTGCCTCAAACCTGAATTTAGACATTTAAAAAAAAGATGAGTTTTAAGGGAGGATTGGAAACCCTGTTAGCTGTTTAGCATACAGTTTAGAATTCAGTTTATTTCTATGCTCCAATTCCCATTATGTCACCTAAGGTGATTTCATAGATCCAGATCAATCAGATCATCTAGTCAGATTGGTTCAAGGTTTTCTATCTGAGGAAAACCAGCTGATTGCATCGACTCATTGACTCTTCAGCAATCCCTCACACCAAGTTGTTCAGACAATGTGGAACAAGAAATCCATTTAATCTTACACTATACTAACTAATAAACTGAAATTATTAAAGTAAGTAGGGCATAAAATAAAGTGAAATTAAAAGTAAAAAAAATGGAGGAATTAACCTAAAATTAAATTACAGATTAAAAAGCAAAAGTATGTTTTAAAATCAGGTGAGAGGGAAAAGTGATTTAAAGTGTCTGAAAGATTAAATGGGGCGACTGATGAGGCGACTTTCCTTTCCTGCATGGAACAGAAGGTTCCCCTGCTTAAAGCAGCACTGGTCAAGGCCGGTCTGCAGTTATTGAGCATCTGGATGATCCAGAGGAGTCATG